TACAAGAGGAGGATCTTCCTGAAATAATTGCTTCCTTGGAGGAGCTGGATAACGGCTTGGTGTCAGCGAAACAGATGGCACAGATGACCGCGGAAGACAAGACGTTGCGTAGCGTCATCAGTTATATCCAGCGCGGATGGCCGCGGAAGCTATTGATGGAGCAAGAGGGGCTTCGACCTTTCTGGAGCAGGAAAGACGAGCTTTCGGTGCATCACAGCTTGCTGTACTGGGGAAACCGAGTCGTTGTTCCAAAAAAGGCTCGCGAAGCTGTCCTCAAGCTCCTCCACGAGACCCACCAAGGTGCGTCGGCCATGAAGACGGTTGCTCGCTCAAAGTTCTGGTGGCCCTCATTGGACTCGGCTATCGTAGACCTCACCCAGAGATGTGAGAAATGTATTTAAGCGGCTTCTATGCCAGCAGCGCAGAAACCTGTCGATTGGCCGGTGACCGGGAACCCTGGTCGAGGTTACACTTGGATTATGCCGGGCCCGTCGACGGAAACATGATCCTGATTGTCATCGACGGATACTCGAAGTGGATTGAAGCTACAGCTACCAATCAGGCAACGTCGGATTCCACAATCCGACAACTTCGGATTGCTGAGAAGCAGTCGGATTCCACAATCCGACTGCTTCTCAATCATCAGCGCACGCCTGTGGCTTCGGGCAAGTCTCCATCCCGGTTACTTTTGGGATACCAGATCCGGTCACGTTTGGACACGTGCTTTCCGGACAAGAGGTCAGAGCTGACTGCACAGGGCGGGAGTCAGCCCACTCCGCCATTTTTTTAACCGGGCAGAAAGATATTCTTCCGAAACTTTGGTAAGGGACCAAAGTGGCTGCCGGGAATCGTCAAGAGCGCAGGAGGCTCACTCATGGTGACAATACAAACCAATTCGGACCTGGTGCGTCGCCATCTTGACCAAGTTCGCCAGTGGCACACAGAAGACCCACTTGGGTTTCCGGAATAGACTGACCCAGAGGCGCCACTCACACCTACATCATCAGAGGGCAAGGTTCCCTGCGACGGAGCTCTAGCTGAACGAGGGCTGGACCCATTGCCGGGCCCGAATCCCACTGATTCAATTCCCGGAAACCCAAGTTCATTTAAAAGTCCCTCAACAAACCAGAACCAGCCGCTCCCAACTCCTGTGCCACTTCCACGGCGCTCGACTCGAGAAAGGAAAAAGGTTCAGCCCTTCCAGTCTTCTTTTTAAGGGGGAAGATATGACGGGAACTGAGACTAGACGACGACGACACACACACTCGTCTGGAGCCGAGCGCGCGAGCGGGGTTCGGCATCCGCCATCATGAAGTAAAGACGTTTACTGTCCTGGCTCTTCAGTTCTTAGTAGAACATATCGCCACACCGGCGATTCGGTAGTACTTTACTACAGATTCAAACCTGTGCGGGGAGACCTCAATTTTATTTCTAGTCCATCGCCTTAACCACTCGGCCACGACTGCGGGACGAGTGGGGGGCTCTGAGATGTGGTAGTAACTCAAGAGCTGGGGATGTCATGGATGAAACGTTGCATGTAGCCGCTCGACGTCTATACAGGAGAGGGCGCTGCGGTCGAATGCGTGTATAATCGCGTTAAACTGTGCATGCATTGGCTCAACGTTTATAGACGAGAAGGCGCTGCGTTCAAATGCTGAAATGCGTATATAACCACGTTCCATACCACACATTCTCTTTCTGACATGGATGCAAACGAACGAAAAGCTCGGCATGCTGCGGCTCAGCGTATCAGCACCACCAGAGCTTCGACCCAATCAACATCATTCACCACGTGGAGATGCGGTCATTTTTTGTTTCCCCGGGCAAAAAAAAGGTCCCAAAATGACAACGTTCGCCGATTGGGGGGGGGGGGGGGGGGGGGGGGGGGGGGGTGACAAAAAGCTGCAGGAGCAGCTAAAGGCATCAAAATCGACGAGTTTAAAGGTCCTCTCAGCCTGAAAGGGAATTCGTTAGTTCCATATAAAAAACTTGTGGCACGTATACCCGAACTTCCTCGTGAAAGTGTACACAAAATTTCAGCCCGCGATTTGAAGAATAAAGCGTATAGACCAGTGTCCCCGAATCCTAGGCCTCAGCGATAAAAATGGAAAATAATAATCTCAAACGCAGGCTTCGTAAAGAGAGGGGCTGCGCATGAAACAAGATTTTTGCTCTTTACGCAGCGCTCTTGTCATCGGTGTTGTTCCTGGAGCTTCGTCACTATGCATCTCTGACGTTCTTGCACCACGAGGTGTGTGAAGGTTCCTAAAAAAATCTTGGTCTTTCAAAAAGCGCAGCCCCCCCCCCTCCCCAATGTGTCATGGCGTCAGCATAAACCGACATGGCGGCACTGGTCTATAAAACGCATATGAATGTTATCGTATATTGCAACTTATTCGATAAACGAGCTGCGCTGGAGTCGACGCAGCTGTTGCCATAGCAACCCGTCGTCGCAGGCCATTGCAGTTGCACCCGGTCGGACTGGACGCAAGTGTGTTCTTCAGCTTGTCACGCCGTTCTGGACGCGCTTGGCGTGACAAGCCGAAGAACGGAACCGCAGCCCGTTTGCGTCCGCAGGTCTCCAAAGCCGGTGGCAGGAGCTTCCGAGGGCGCCGAGGGCGTCGAAAGCGCGCCCCGCATGCCGGCCGCATGAAGTAACAGTTGTCGGCGTTACCAAAAAAAAAAAAAAAATGTAACGAAATAGGTTACTCGTCTCAGGCAAAGAAAAATAACGCGCTACCGTTACTGATAAAAAGTAACGCACGTTATTCTTGCGCTCCTTAAATTGACATTTATGTTTCGTTTCAGCTTAAGTGAAGAGGCAGCCGACGCTACGAGCTAATGGGGCCAATCAAGCAGCTTCAAAAGCAAAAGTCACTGTGGCTTTTTTTTTTTTTTTTTTGGTTATGATTGGTTGAGCGATGATAGAACACATGACGGACTCCGTGATGCTGCCCTTTTGGAGATGTCCGGTTTGTCGTCTCAGCTCGTAGCGTCGGCTGCGCCTAATCTTAAAAGAACAAAAACCACAAAAACAACAGCAAAACATTAGAGCAATATTAACCGCGCGAGCCGCGATTTATACTTCGTTTCAGCTTCGGTCCGAGCGCCGCCGATGTTATGAGCCGAAGGGCCAACCGAACAGCGCAAAAAGCGCAGCGTCATGGCGTGCTCTTAAAAAGAGCACGGCGAATATCTTCGCGTTGGTCGCAGACCGCACAGTGCGACCTCTTAAGTTTCGATACAGCATGCAGTGTTTGGTCAGTGCGGGCACAATCCGACAAGATGCAGTAAACTGGACTCGAGTCTCGTAAGCTTAGGTAGGTGCCCATGCGCGATGGTAACCAGAGTCAGGAAGGCTCCCAGCACTAAGCTGATAACGTGCCGGTTCATTTCGTTGTAAGTCCGAGCGCAGTTCAAGTCTAGAACACACAGAAAGACGGACACAAATGCTAAAAGCGCAAGTCACGGGGCAATTCCTAAGCTTGATTGCTTTAGCCGGTAAAAGCTAGAACGGGTAAGTACTATAAGGAGCCAAACGCCATGATGTGATTGTAACTCTGTTTGTTCGGTCCCATTGCCTCGTATATCGTCGGCTGCTCATTTACTTAAGGTGAAATGAGTCATACATCGTTGCGAGTCTCGCAGCAAGTCTGCCCTATCATGTGTGGAGTCTTGTAGCACATCTACGTTCTGAAAATGCATGTGCGATCTTGAGGCGTGCTTGATAAAACCCGCAATCATTCGAACGTTAAAATTGAATAGACAGCACGAATTGTAAACTTAATGTTTGTATAATTCGATGTACCATTTAATAAATGATATTATGGGATACTCTACTGTCCAGACAGTTGAGGCTTAAAAACGCTCCATCAAAATGACTTAAATACGCGGTTTTGAACCCTTTTTGAAATCTTGCTCGCACACCAAAGTGACTTCGTAATTTTTCATACTTTTAGGGCTTCAGTCTTCTGTTTTGTCAAAATGACCGAACACTGATCGGGGCAAGGTTCACACTCACACAAAAACTTCGATAATTTTTTTCTAATACATACATTTTACAATAAAAAAAAAAAAACAGCGACAACAATAATGTACGTGCATTAATGATATCCATCAGAAAACTCGTCCCAACCGTTTACTAGAAAAATAAAATAAAAATAAAATAAATACTTAAGCTATTATTGCATGAATTAACGTGGAAGTTGCTTAGAATCTAATCAGAAATATTCGCAAATCCGTGCGGTGGCCACCATCGCGGTCGTCGTCATTTATCAACTGCCGTTATAAAAATAAGGAAACGCAAGAGATTTAGGGGTGGTACTAATACGGCACGGCGAGCGGGCAAGAAAAGGGCGAAGCTCACGCCAGAGAAATGAGCTGCCGGCATTTGACCGGCCACTCAAAGCAGGCGTCGTCTTACGCAACACATTCTCGGCGTTTCTGGGAACTTTTTTCTCCGCGCTAACCGTACCCTGCTTTTTTTTTTTTTTTTTTCCTAATTTTATTATTATTTAGTTTTTTGGTCCGTTTATATTTGTTTCTCTCCCGGTCGGAGGTAAAGGTCAGTGGTGTTGTGTTCCGTGCAGTCATAATTTAGAGGAAGGCTTCCGCTGGAAAGGACTGCGATCATTAAAGGAACGAGCGAACACATACTATCCCACGCAGTTCGCAACTTCATAGGGGTTCGTAGTCGGCGACCACGCACCCAGCTTGCTCGGCGCGCTCGCGGCATGGCAAGCTGGCCGCGCGCCGAGCTTTCGATACCAACACACAGCAAAGAAAAAGGAAAGGATCCAAGGTTTGCGCTACGCATAAAAGCGAACAAGTGCGGTCGGGGGCACGCAGCGCGATGGTGTGTAGTTTCAGCGTGTGAATTCTTGCGGCCGAAGCACGCCGTCAGCTGCGGCCGGCGTTAGCAGACGATATTCTCGTACCACTCCCCGCGATCCGTCGGCGCGCCGCTGTTCCCGCGTGGCGGCTTACACCCCCCCTCCGCCAGCATCAACCGGTTTCCCGCACCGGCCGGTCCCTCGCCGCCGCCGCCGCTTCTTCTTCGACTTCGGGAGAGCCTCCTCATATTTATCGAAACCTAGCACGTATTTTCGCAGATAGAGGCACCGGCCATTAAATCGTGCGCCCAGTTGCAAAACGAAACCGAGCCTCGGAAGAGGGCGATAAATAGCCGCAAAGAAGAAGCCGAAAGCCACCGACAGCGGCGGCCGTCGTACGGCCATTCGAGTGCAGAGGGCGCTATCGGAGCAGGAACCGCGCGGGGGAGCTCGTTCAAAATTGACGGCGGCACATCGCATCACAGTGGGCACGGCGGCGCTTGTGCGGGTGTCAGCGCGGACGAGTGTGTGTGTTCCTGCTGCGGGTCATTCGATGTCTAGCGATGGCATCGGGACACAGCCTGCTTCTTCTCTTCGGGCTGTTCACGGCGGCTTTCCTGCTCCAGGGCTCGCGTCAGGTGAGCCGCACGCCCAACTTCTCGAGTAGGGGCACATGCCTCAGCACCGTTCTTTCGGAGACGTGCCTCCGGGCTCCTGCCGTTTTGTCGGCGTGCACGAGGCAGCGAGGAGCGAGCGTCGTAGCGAGCACGCCGGGCGGTGCTCTCGACAGCACGTGACTTTTCCACCCCTGCGGCGCCTTCCCAGCCGAGCACCTTTACTTCCCGCCGGCTATCGGCGCGCTTTTCGACGCTTATGAGCTCATTTTCCACGAACTCCCAGGTTACGGACACGATTCCGTATCTGGGTTTGCCTCTCGCCTCGCGAGGTCCTATAGTTTCGAAAGTCCGAAACGAGGGGACATGCACGCACGCACGCACGCTCCGCGAGGCTCGTCGCACTAAAAGTATCCAAATCTATCGGTCGCCCTGTGAACTTAGTAGCGCCGACTTGCAGGAACCCGACCGCTGTCACGGAGAGCCGTAGTCCGGAGGCAGTTATTCGCGGGGCGGGTCCGCCCGTTGCCCCATTCAGACTAGCCATTAAACGTTTTGTAAAAAAAAATGCCACGAAGAAAAAAGCCTTATCGGCGCGTGCGTAAAGTTGCGTCGTTTCCTCCAGCAAACTTTCGCTAAAGTTTTCTACCTTCGTACTTTTTTTTTTTTTTTTCGTCGTAGCTAGCGTGTTTTCTGGGCAACTTAAGTATTCAAGTCTCGTCACCCGGCTAGTATTAATTAGAAACCGGACTAGACGTTATCTTAATTCGTTACTCCGAAGCAACCCAACCGCACAAAAAAGTTCCTCCTTATATATATCTTTATTATCTTTGTCTATTCGTCTTTGGTTTCTGTCTCGCTAACTTTCGCCTCGAAAGCGAAATGGCGGGTTCTTCAAACAGACTTCCTCGTACAGCTCTTCTTTTTTGTTCCCTTTTCTTTGCGTCGAGCGGCGTTTTGCCGCAAACACGTTGCGCCGAGATACGCAAATAGACCGCCTGGTTCACACCCTCGTAAGTCATCCGCTCCCAGGAGTCCGGCTATCTTTCGATTTGCAGGAAGGGCAGGCGTGACAGCGCTGGCGGCGACACTCGAGTCGCTTTAGTCCCCATTTGCAAATGTGGCCGTTTTTTTATTTGCTCTTCGGTCCTTTTTGTGAAGGGGGAAAACTATTCTCAAGCTGGAGCCGATATTCCTCGCTTATTCAGATGACTACGTTGTCGTTTGATGATACTGTCTGCTTTGCTCGCATTCTGCACTCGGGCGCGTTCTTCAAAACGCCGTGGCTCGACTTGCGTTGAATGGGTGGCAAATGTCTGTACGCTGATACGACCCTTCAATGTAGTACCGTCATCCACTTGACCCCTAGCCTATACGGGCTATGTAGCGCGGTGCAACGTTTAGATAACGAGGAAAGTATGTGAACAAGATAAGGAAGTCGTTACATCTGGAGATACTTTCCCATGGGGCGCTTTTTCGTGTTTATTTTATTTCTTTTACCGCCGCGTACTCGGTTTTTCTTATCTGCGGTTTTGGAGTCGTATAAGCTGATATCTTCGTAGCGCCATCAGAGTCGGCAAGTCGCTTCTTTCAGGCTCGATGTCCTTTTGTGTGGGTAAAGGTGCCTTAAAGGCGAAAGGGTACTGGGTCCTTGTGATATTGCAGATGGAAAGGATAGCGCACTGTAAAAAAGGTGTGGGCGATCTCTTTCTCGCTTTCTCTCTCGCTGTGATCCCAAGCTTGTTCTCGAACAAGAGTGCCACCCCGAATTAAGTGTGCGGACGCTGGTTCTCTTATCAGTAAATGTCAAGGATATGTTGCACAAGGGCAATAACTTTTTTTTCTCTCTCTTTAAACTTGAGACGAGCTTGCCCGTGAGCAACGTGATTAAAAAAAATAAAAAAGACTGGAATCTTGGACGTTTTTTGCTTTGAAATGTATGCTCTGGTTGCGAGGCTTAACAACGAAGTAATTAACAAAAATCGGCAAGGAAAACCTGAGCGCCGTCCAATATGCGATGCCACGGCATACGGCGTCTTTCTCGACGCGTGTCAGCACCCGCGCGTCCCGTCAAGTTTGGTGTTGCGCCGAGCCTCTTTTCGCTCCGCAGGCAACGAGAATGATCCACTAGCCAATAAGGAAGCCAAAGCCAAGTGGGCCTGCCGTTACTGGGCTGTAACCCTAAGGCCACGGTCTCGCTGCTCGTACAAGTTTCAGGCCCTTTTCTTCCCTGTATGGCGGTCATGTCACATTGGCCACACTAACAAATTGTCTCCAGACATGTTCATACGTATGTACGAAGCAAACGTGCTCCGTACATGAGCGAGACGTAATTCTGTCATGTTTGCAGAGCGAACACCGTGTCTTCGTCTGCCACGCCCCGCATATATGAGGTTGTCAATAGGCGTGGAATCCCACGTGGCTGACATGGTGCGCGCGCGACGCCCGAACGTGTTCATCTTTCGGAGGTTAGCGTCTCGGCTCGTAGCCCGAGCTGACCCCGTGAAAACTGCGAGCGACCGTTGGGCTCGGGAGTAATTGGCCCTGCCCTCCGAGAGTCGTGACCGCACCATCGGCCTCATGAGTCTTCGCGGAGAGTGTGCCAGAGGGACGGACGAAGGTCGGCGCGCAGCTTCCCGCTTCTCCGTCAGCCATGGGGTGTAGAGATGCCGCAGATTGGATAATCACCTTAGGGCGAGGATCTGTTCGGGTTGTTTCGTTTGTCCTATACGAAGCCGCCGTCACGTGGCTAGTACAACGTGTAAAAGACGTCCTGCAGGCTCTCTAGGGCGTGTGTCTTCCATGTGGGACGGCCCCCATACAAACACAGTCAGCAGCTAAAGTTGAGGCTTGGGCGAGTTGGTACATACTTCGGAAATTAAAAACAGCGCGGAAAGACGAGGACCAGACAAAGAAGTGACACGGACGTAGCGCTGACTTACAACTGAGTTTAATGAACGGAAACTCGCAATATATATTTGCGGTGTCACGAACAAAAAAGAAAAAATTCAGCCCATGTGATGTATCACCAATAAAAATAAAACAATGATAAAAAACATTGAAAAAACATTGAAAATAAAAATGAAATGCGCCATGACACAGCCGTACAAAGTATGTGCTAAAAATCGAGCAAGTCACGGAACCAGAAAATTCAACTCTTTGCCTGAGAGGGCCACGGAAGGACTGCTTACACATGCTGCACCCAACCTCGCTATCTCAACAGCCTCTAGAATTTCCCGAGTAAGTTGGTCCCTATGACGCTTAACAACCTCACACCGTTGGAAGTCGGGAAGGCACCCACAGTCGCGGCAATGAATGCCCAGGTGACCAGACACTGTTGTGGAGACACTGTAAGCGTGCTCTCTCAACCTGTCGTTGAGACAGCGGCCCGTCTGGCCAACGTAGCGCCTGCCACACGTCAGAGGGAGAGAATACACAACCCCCTCCGAACACGGAACGAAGCGATCTCGATGCCTCGTACTGCATCCCGTGGCCGCCCTCGAAGAAGGGTTAACAGCTCTGCACAACCTGGACAGCTTGTCCGGGGCAGAGAATAAAACATCGACGTCACACCTGCCAGCAATGCGTTTTAGGTTGTGGGACAGGCCGTGTACGTAGGGAATAACCACAAACTTTCTTCTTTCCCTTCCCTTTCTGTTGTTGGCCTCTTCTTCACTTCTCATAGGGCTGCTCTTGATATCTTTCAGCAATATCTTTGCTGAAAGATATCGTACACGGCCTGTCCCACAACCTAAAACGCATTGCTGGCAGGTGTGACGTCGATGTTTTATTCTCTGCCCCGGACAAGCTGTCCAGGTTGTGCAGAGCTGTTAACCCTTCTTCGAGGGCGGCCACGGGATGCAGTACGAGGCATCGAGATCGCTTCGTTCCGTGTTCGGAGGGGGTTGTGTATTCTCTCCCTCTGACGTGTGGCAGGCGCTACGTTGGCCAGACGGGCCGCTGTCTCAACGACAGGTTGAGAGAGCACGCTTACAGTGTCTCCACAACCGTGTCTGGTCACCTGGGCATTCATTGCCGCGACTGTGGGTGCCTTCCCGACTTCCAACGGTGTGAGGTTGTTAAGCGTCATAGGGACCAACTTACTCGGGAAATTCTAGAGGCTGTTGAGATAGCGAGGTTGGGTGCAGCATGTGTAAGCAGTCCTTCCGTGGCCCTCTCAGGCAAAGAGTTGAATTTTCTGGTTCCGTGACTTGCTCGATTTTTAGCACATACTTTGTACGGCTGTGTCATGGCGCATTTCATTTTTATTTTCAATGTTTTTTCAATGTTTTTTATCATTGTTTTATTTTTATTGGTGATACATCACATGGGCTGAATTTTTTCTTTTTTGTTCGTGACACCGCAAATATATATTGCGAGTTTCCGTTCATTAAACTCAGTTGTAAGTCAGCGCTACGTCCGTGTCACTTCTTTGTCTGGTCCTCGTCTTTCCGCGCTGTTTTTAATTTCCGAACAGTCAGCAGGCATTGTTCGAAGCGTACAAACGTATGTAGAGCGTGTTCGAGACTTGCTAGCTGATAATTCTGTCGTCATGTCTGCGGCGAACGCCGTGTTTGTTGTACGATGTATAAGGAGTCTGACCGCGGTTAGTGTTGGCTCGTGGGGTGGCACGCAGCGTGGGCGAGAACCGTCTGCTGTGGGACGGGTCTTCAGCCTCGTTTGTCGGCTCGTGTTGAGAGAGCGAGTTGGCGCAGGTACGCTTACAGTCGCTGCGCGGACACCGGAATCGCTATCGTGTCACCAGGCGGACAGGCGGCAGACACTGGTTGGAGACCGGTCAGTTAGACATTGTTGGCGAGTTTTTCTAGTGGCGGTAGCGTCCCCGTCGAGCCGAAAAAGAACCGGCCAGCAAAAAATACTGAGTATTTTTTATTATTAGAGAAATATGTGCCTTGGTCGCCCTAGATGGATTGATTGGTGTTCATGACCGAGCTCAGGGAGGAGTTTTCGGAGGCAATGCAATAATGGCTGCTTCGAAGAGGGACGTGCGTCCGGTCTCTTTC